ACTTTACACATATTACATTACCATAGTCAATCACGTGGGTAGTATATCTTGACTTTACACATATTTCATTACCATAGTCAATCACGTGGGTAGTATATCTTGACTTTACACACATTACATTACCATAGTCAATCACGTGGGTAGTATATCTTGACTTTACACACATTACATTACCATAGTCAATCACGTGGGTAGTATATCTTGACTTTACACACATTACATTACCCCCACGTGGGTAGTATATCTTGACTTTACACATATTATATTACCATAGTCAATCACGTGGGTTGTATATCTTGACTTTACACATATTTCATTACCATAGTCAATCACGTGGGTTGTATATCTTGACTTTACACACATTACATTACCCCCACGTGGGTAGTATATCTTGACTTTACACATATTATATTACCATAGTCAATCACGTGGGTAGTATATCTGGACTTTACACATATTTCATTACCATAGTCAATCACGTGGGTAGTATATCTTGACTTTACACACATTACATTACCGTAGTCAATCACGTGGGTAGTATATCTGGACTTCACACATATTTCATTACCATAGTCAATCACGTGGGTAGTATATCTTGACTTTACACACATTACATTACCCCCACGTGGGTAATATATATTCTGACTTTCTCATCCAAGGTCCTACTTGCTACTGGTAGAAGTTTTAATTATGGGGTCTGAAATTTCAACTTCAATAAACAGATTTCACTTAAAATACCTATTAATCTAACATCTATGTATATCATGTTATTCCTGTTTCATGATGATTAACAATCTTCGTTTATTCGGATACAGACATTACTTTGGAATAACCTAAAATTTTATTTAAAGTATGAAAATCCTCGCCAACCTGGTGAGACGTTGTGCTTTCTTTTACTCGAAAGATTTCGCCACACTATGATCTTTTTTAGTTTGCTATGTACGCATGAAAACTCACTCCACGATATATCGATTGTGAAGTTTATAAAATGTTATTACTTAGAATAACGTGTGAAATGGCTGAGCAAACAACAAGATGTCACTCAAAATATGCCATAGAGGTAAGTAATTGCTAAGCGTTTGATAAAGTTTACACTACCTAACCGTAACCAGGCTTGGGTTCCACAAACTATTATGGTTCAGTGCTGATGATGTCTTCCGGTGCTTATAATAAACTCTATAGCTAAACGTGAGTTGTGTATTAACGACAGCCATACAATTCGCTGTCGTGAAACACTTGTAGAACTATATGTACGAATTACCAGGCCAACGAGGTAATTTGCACGGGGAATAAATCAACAAATCCCGGTAGATATAGACTGATGTTCGAGAGCAGCACTAAGCCATCTGGATACGTGTACCGGTTAGTTGTGTAATCAGGTTGATGACTAAACTTACCTAATCGCCCAAAACATACACAGAATAATTTATTGCACGAGAAATATAGGTCAAGTCTTCATTAAAAGGATGAGTTAATTATTTCTGGCCTATTTTTCATGCCTTCATAGATAGAAAATGAGCTCTATTGTCCTTCAAGAAGTCAAGTGTTAAAGAGAAAAAAGGTTTCCCAAAAATAAAGAACAGATGGAGTCGTAGAAAAAAATATTCATTGTACCTTCATTCACGTGCTGAGTTATTCTCCCCATCATTACTCGATATGAACGTTCGCGAATCATGATATTTGGAAATTTAATAATGTCTGAAATGTAAAATAAAGATGAATGTGTTTAATTTGACTCACTTTCGTTTTATTTCTAATTATAATGTTGTGAAGGCTCAAATCTTTGATTTTAGGCCTATGCGATTCATCACGATAGTGCTGCCACTACACCTATCCTTGTTGACATATTCGGAAGACCGTTATTAACTAATTGGTAAGTTCGAAGTACACGCTTCGTCCATCACGAAGGAAAGGTTAACAAACTGTCAAAAGTATCGTGGCAGGAAAGCCACGTTGTAAAGTTATGTTAATGTTAAGGAAAAGGGGCGTAACACAAACAGCATCTTTTTTCTTTCTTTCTTTGTTTCTACATCGGTCACGATGCAGGAAAGTTACGTTGTATAGTTATATAAATTTTAAGTAAAAGAGGCGTAACATGAACAGCATCTTTTTCCTTTCTTTCTTTGTTTCTACATCGGTCACGGTGCAGAAGAGTTACGTTGTATAGTTATCTTAATTTTAAGTAAAAGGGGCGTAACATGAACATATTTTTTTTCTTTCTTTGTTTCTACATCGGTCACGATGCAGGAAAGTTACGTTGTATAGTTATATAAATTTTAAGTAAAAGGAGCGTAACACGAACAACATCTTTTTCCTTTCTTTCTTTGTTTCTACATCGGTCACGGTGCAGGAAAGTTACGTTGTATAGTTATATAAATTTTAAGTAAAAGGAGCGTAACACGAACAGCATCTTTTTCCTTTCGTTCTTTTGTTTTGAAAGTACATAGCTGTTTCAAAGTAGTTTATGTCAAGTCTTTCCTTTTTATTTTGTACTTAGAAGGTAAATATTTATTTATTTTCTCTGTTTTGAAGTTTTTATTTCCACAATTCTTATGTTTGCACGTAAACGTATTCTGTAGGCATGAACGACTTGCTTTGTGAACAAATGCGTAACAGGTGTGAAATAACACGATATCGTAACAGGTGTGATATAACATAATATTATAACAGGTGTGACATAACAAGATAAATCTTCAGCTTTACATGAAATTGCAATTAATGTTTTACACATAATCATAATAATGTTATAACATACACTATAAAAATAATAGGTTCCGATCGTGTTCTGTCTTTATCATATACCGTTAAACAGCCAAGGCGTTATTTTTATATAGAAGTAAGTTTTAAAGCAAGATATGATATTACTCTAAAGAATTTTTGATAGTGCAGCACGTGAACAGCGAGGAATTAGCTTTCCACACTTAATTTGAAAGATTAAACAAATCAACAGTATTTATATATATATATATATATATTTCATGAACCACGATAGTGGTTCATAATAGAGATTGCAAAGATTTGCATAAACCCCTAATAGAACTTTCGGGCAAAAAGTACTTTAAACCGTAAAGAATCAGTTCAAAAAACACTTTAAAACCTTTACTATTGATTGATAAGGCTGTACACATATAAAAATACACAAAAAAGCACGCTTGTTAGACTTACGAGGAAACAAAATTCTCTTAAAATGGCTTGTTTGAAATTCTTCTTCTTATTATCATTATTTTCTTACCAGCCTACAACAAAACACGGTTTGGTATATTGTACCCAAACCTATTGTAGAATAATAAAGTAACGCGAAGGTCGTAGGAAGTATTGAAACGTCGATTTGTTTCTTCTATATTTTACATAAACTAAAAACATCATAATTCCAGTGTAAACGATGTTATCATTATCCATAGAAGTTAGCTTTCCCACATACATCTGGTGTTCCTTTAAAAATTAAAATACAATAATATATTAACATTAAATGACTGTAACATGTAGATACTCTTTAGGGAGCCAACTCCTATATTATGTATGAAGCGAAGGAGTAAAAAAATCAATATACATAATATTATATTTTATTACACACATTCGTAGAGTAAGTACTTTAAAAAATACGATGTTTTATTTAAAGCGGTGTTTTAAACGTGTTTTGTATTTGAAAAGGCTGCTTTTCTACTGATAAAATTCTATACGCGCTTAGTGGGAGTTGTGTCATAGTCTAAGCATATATTTACCCATTGCTATGAATTATATAGAGAGAATTTAGTTACACAGAAACTATAAATGCTCAAACAAATCGCCGTGACAATCTCCAGCTACAGTTTAACATTTTACATCTCGAACTAATGCGACCAAACAGTCAATAGCTACAGTAAATCATCATGAACCGTATCAGCTAGCTACTAGCTAGGTTTATTATCATTACAATGTATAAAGTTAGCTACCATATCAAGTAATCCTTTGCCCATAGTTTAGCATAAAAAAGCCAGTAAACAAGATAAATAAAAAATTGGGAATTTAAAAACCTGCAAATTGGATCGTAAAAAATAGTAAGGAAACAACACTGTTGATACTGTAGATATTGTTTACTCAAGCTACAGATCCTATGTTGAATCCACCAAATGTAATTCCAGGTAACAGCATGGAGCCAAAAAAAGGGGTTTGTAGTTTGGATAAATAATGTGACGGCTGGTGCTGCTGGTTAGTTGTCTTTCTCTTATCAGGAATTCCAAATTAGAGGCGTCTATAACTGAACCGTGGGTTTTCTAATTTGATTAATTCATTCATTCTGGTGAAATATTGCTTAAGTTTGTACTGTTTGAATGATAAAGCACATTTAATTAGAATCCTGGGCCTCGTATAGCCTGGATGTTAGGACACTCGATTCGCAACGTGAAGATTATAGGTTCGAATTCCGTTACCGAAAACGGACGCCCTTTCAGCCTTGGGGCCCTCATAATGTGACCATCAATCCCACGTTTCATTGGTAGAGTTGCTGGTGGGTAGTTTTGACAGTAACCGTTCCATCTAATCTATCACTTCTAAATTAGCGACAGCTAACACAGATTGTCTTCAAGTAATTTTGTGCGCGAAATTCAACAAAACAAACTTAGAATCCAGCATTTCTCAGATAACAAGATAAACATTAATAATTTCAAGTGGTTACTTCAAATAATTATAAATAAAGAATGATAATAATGTAAATCCCTATTTGCAGCAAATGTGATGTTAAAATCGTCGTTATTAAGTGAATAACCTAATACTAAAACTTCCTAACTTTATTGCATGTTAGGAAAACATTCGATTACTTTATTTTTCTCTGTAAATATAAAAGCATTAAAAAAACCTAAAAATTGGAATAAGCTAGTCCCCCAATGGGTCAGTGATACGTTTATGAACTTATAACGCTAAAATCCTGGGTTTGATTCTTCGCAGTGAACATTGTGTAGCTTTGCGCTAAAAAGACAAAAACGAGAATGAGCTAACATTAAGTTTAGAAATAATGAAAAATAACAAACATTCGTTTGCTTACAACTTCAAAATATTTGCAAATACGTTTCAATATTTAAAAGCGCCATTTGATTTACATTTCTCTATATTCATGGCTTGATGTTAAAATTTTACTTATTTGATTTGAAGCTGAAACCTTAGAAAGACTTTTTGATATTATGGCAAATCAAAAGAGAGAAAACATAGATATCAATATCATCTGAAGATATCAATCTCATTTTTCAACTTACCCCACTCCAACAATGCTGCCATTGCATTAGCAGATCCATTTTTGGCTGCTTCATGGATTGGATAGTAGCCATTATCGCACGGAATTCTTGGGCAACATTTCAGTTGACTTAGCTAAAGCAGCAGAAAATAAATACTGTTATATTAATATGAAAATACACCAAAAAGTGACATTTATCAACTCTGATGATCAGCTTTCTGATATTTTCTATATTTATTTTAATTAAGGCATGATAAACCTAATTTCAATGGTAAACTTCTAATGTTTTATTAGCATCTAAACTCCTCATTTTTTTAATTGAATATAAAATGTTATTGTGATACTTTTATTCCTATTTTAAATAATTTACAAGATTTCTAATTTTGTACATTGTTAAAAATAATTATGTAGGTACTTCCAAATATGGTGGAAACAAATTCCATAAAAATTCCGACTGTATTATACCTGCAAAAACATTATTATAGAAACATGTTTGGAACCAGATGGTTTGGTTATTCTTGAATTCTGCGCAGAGCTACACGAGGGCTATTTGCGCTAGCCGTTCCTAATTTAGCATTTATAGACTAGAGGGAAGGCAGCGAGTCAACACCACTCACCGTCCAATTCTTGGGCTACTCTTCTAACAACGAACTGTTGGATTGACCGAAACATTACCACGCCCATACGACTGAAAGGGCGATCATGTTCGATGATGGACATTCGAACCTGTGATCCTCAGGTTACGAGTTGAGCGCCCTAACAATTAAGCCAGGCCTTGTGAATAGATAAAACAAGTACTTAATATTCTGTAGCCTAATAATGTAAAACTTGATAATCGCTAAGGTTTCACATTATCAAGTTTTAAGATCATATTAAAGTTTACTGTGTTCAGACAAAGTCTGATTCTTTAAGCCACATCTGTTTTGCAATAAACGATTTTAATTTTCTGTAAACTTCACCCTAAGCAACCTATTAGGCCTAATCTCTGATGCTGTTTTTTTATTGTTAGAGCTGTTTCACATATAGTTAAAAAATAGTAAGCCTGAAATAGGTTGTGGTTTCATTTATAGTGCAAGAAAGAAAATATATATCACTTATGTTCTCTGTATCAAGTGTCAGAAGCACGAATAATTAGACTTTTATAATATTGTAATGACTTGCATGAAGCATTAGTACATGAAAAGACTTTTGGTACACGGTAATTGCTGTCTAAAAAAAAAGTCCCAGTGACTCAGTGGTAAATGAGAGGGCTTATAACGCTATAATCGAGGGTTCAATACTAACGACGGGCACATCGCAGTTAACTCATAATGCAGCTTTGTGCTGAACACGAAAACAAACAAGTCTTAAAAACTGGATTCACGTGAGTAGCAGATCATAAAGGCGTTATGATGTTTGCCATATGAATTTAGTTATGAATTTATGATGTTCTT